AGGCTTGTAAAGAAGCAACCACACTTTCTGGAAGAGCCGAATGCACAGTATGCGAAACAACCCTACCCAGGTCTCGATATCAAAGTTGTCCTTCTCCGAGAGCGTTCGACACGCAAGGCTATAGGACCCAGCTTGTCTTGCTATTTTACCCATACCCGGGGGTAGAAGAGATTAATTCATACCTTTCCCAAGGGTATTAGCACGTAAGTGAATGTAATGAATTCGAACTCTGTTTTCTCAAGCTGAGACGCTATCCATCCCCCACATATATATATATATATATATATATATATATATATATATATATATATAAATAAAAACTTATCTTGAGATAAATGAGAGTCAGGGGTAGTATAGATCATGCCGTGCCACACGTTCGCTGAGATATTTGTGTGCATTCTACAGACACTAATTTTATTCAGGTTTGAATATTAGTAGATCTAATTTCTGGATGCCTATTAAGCACTTTGTTTACTTTTAACCAACAACTGTATTAATTGAACAAGCTTCTGTTTTAGACGTAATTACTGTTGAATAAATAGATATCAGCAATTATTGTCAGTTTGTCGACTAGATGCATCACATAAAATTCTAAATAAAAACAGTTGTTGATAATCATAGTAAAAGAGGGTATAAATTGGCCTTGTGATGTATAGTTTAGATTATATTATTTTATTGTAGGAGGTATGAAGTAGGCTAGTCTCAGTCATATGTTACAGAATGCGGAGTTTGGTCCAGAATGGACAGCAATTGAATTGCCTTTGTCTATGTCTTCGATAAAACGGCTCGAAGTCGGCAGAGGGATGCAAGAATTTTGAAGGGTCGATACTGTTTTCCCGCCCAGATTCGAGAGTCTATCTAAGCCCGCACGTGGTGGGATGCTCAGTATGCGTTCTCTTGACGTTCTTCCTCCCGCTGCCTCCTAGAATCGATGCTACCACGTCTGCCCATCCCGTATAATAAAACGAATATGAACACGAAACCACCTTTCCTTGATAAAATTTATGAAGTGGTGTTTGGGATCCGAGGTGCTGAAGACACTGACGACATAAAATGCAACACATACATCGGAGTTTGGACACATCGTCGTGGTGTAATGGTTAGCAAGTTTATCCCGTTAGATCAGTTACGACTGGAAAGTGAGTTCGATTCTCACTGGGTTCCCCATACATTCAGCCTTTTACCACATCTAAGCTACGCTTAGAAAACCACCATACCCTGGAGGTTATTCTGGACTAGGCTAAACTATACAACAAGGTGAGAGGCCAACGATGTCACTATATTTCTAGATATATTTACAAAGCCGAATTTAGTATAAGACATGACCAAAAGTAAAATAAGTGTGTGTGAAAAGAGAAAGAATGCTTGTGTGTATGTGAAAGAGAGAGAGAGAGAGAGATGTAGAGAGAGTATTCACATCTACTACATACTCCTCATCTAGCCTAAATAAAAGAATGTGTGTGTGTGTGTGTGAGAGAGAGAGAGAGAGAGAGAGAGAGAGAGAGAAAGAATATATGTGTGCGAGAGAGAGAATGAGAGAGTTTTCACATCTACTGTATACTCCTCATCTAGCCTAAATAAAAGAATGTATGTGTGTCTCTGTGTGTGTGTGAGAGAGAGAGAGAGAGAGATTTAGAAAGAATGTGTCATAGAGAGAGAGAGAGAAAGAATATATGTGTGCGAGAGAGAGAAAGAGAGAGTTTTCACATCTACTGTATACGCCTCATCTAGCCTAAATAAAAGAATGTATGTGTGTGTCTGTGTGTGTGTGTGAGAGAGAGAGAAAGAATATGTGAGAGAGACAGAGAGAGAATATGTGTGTGTGTGAGAGAGAGAGAAAGAGAGAAAAAATATGTGTGAGAGAGAGAGAAAAGAGATTTTTCACATCCACTGTATACTGCTCATCTAGCCTAAATAAAGGAATGTGCGCGCGCACGTGTGTGTGTGTGTGTGTGCGTTCACATAGAGAGAGAGAGTGAGAGAGAGTCTACTTTATACTCATCTAGCCTACCATAGTTGCTTAAAGTTAAGATCAGTTCGTGTTCTTCTTTGGTAGATGAGCGAATAGTGATAGCCAAGCCAACATTCAAACGAACGTGTTACTTGCCTTTAGCTATGTTACAGAATCCGAAGGGCAGGGCCAGAATGCGGATGCCACGGCCAGAACGGTCGGTGATTGACCAGAGTGCCTCTTGGGCGGGGTATTCTGACAGTGTGGAATGCCTTCTTCTGAGTTTTGGATATAAGTCTAAAACAGCGCGAATTCAATAGAGGGTCGCAAGAGTTCTGACGCGTCGATAAGACCTCCACACCCAGGTTAACGGCGGGCAAAGACCCTTCGCGACATTCGTTCCTGTGACGTCATTCCTCCTACTGCCTCTTATAATCCTAGCCGCCACTACTCTCTCTTAATAAAACGAATGAGAAAAAGAAATGGTCCTTTTCGTTGTTACTATTTTCTGTAGTATCGTGGGGACCCAGAGACAACACAGAACGCAACAGCTAGAGTGAGGGGCGTCAGTAACAGGGAGAAATCCCGATATATTGCAAAAAATGGATTCATGTATTTTCCAAGGCTATAATAAAATGGGAGCACGAACTGCTTCAGCCGGAATTTGAACTATTTTCCATGTTGATAACCTTTGCATCAATCTAGTAATGTTTAAAAGGGACGGATGACTTTCTTATGAAAAAAAAAAAATCCTTAATAACATTATAAACAATGTACAGGCCTTAGTTGAAAGTTGAGAATGTATATACATATAACGACTTTTATATTCTCTAAAGTAGTACTTACAAACCATTTGAATAACAAAAATAATACTTGAAAATAATAAAAATCGAGAAGAAAGATTTCGAGACCTCAAAGCTTTTGGACAATTTTTATATTCATTATATCCAGAAAACAAAATAAATACGTATGAAATCAAAAAGTAAAAAAGAACCTTAACAGTCTTGTTCAATGAAACATATATTAAAAAGGGATTATTGCCCAAATACACAGCTATATATGAAGACAAATATACAGAAAAAAACAAACAAAAATCTTAATATGCAATTATGCTGTATTAAGATTTTTGTTGTTTTTTCTGTATATTTTTCTTCATACTGTCGGATCTATATCCATATATTTGCTTACATACAGCTATATATATATATATATATATATATATATATATATATATAGTTTTAAGGTGTGCTATATTTATGGGATAAAGTGTTCAATATCAGAGATAGAGCGTATGTAAACATAAATATAAAGTGAACATTGAAGTCAACATTCAGAGACGACAGTCGGTTTCATGCTAGGCACAATTGTTAAGCCACGAATGTTGAATTTTTCCTCGACTGTTTATATAGATGGGTCAGTGGTGCATTGTGGGTAATCCATTCTGGCGGTTATTTTTGCGGGGATGGCTTGTTTGTTTATTTATTTGTTTGGGTTAATTTATTTGTTTTTCATTTTCATTTTGTATTATTTATTCTTTTCGGTTTTTGATGTTTATTAATGTAGTAAAAAAAATGGTGGAGGATTTGCTTAGGTCAATATTTTTAAGGCAATTCACCCCAAGCAAGTCGGGCGTGCCACTAGCACGCAAGGAGTTTACAGAGGAATGAAAACAAGAGTAAAGAGGCGTGTTTTAGGAAATGATAAAGAGAAGGACGGGGAACAATCACAGGGTGCCAGATGTCGATTGACATTACCCTTGAATATTTGAAGATTATAGTCATCGGGGAAGCAAGTAAGGGGAAGGGAGTTCCGCAGACGGGAAGTGCGAGAGAAGAAGCGGTTTGACCATTTTGACAGTAAAAGGGTGGAACCGAGATACCAGTTTGGTAGCTTGCTTAAATTCATGCAGTCCGGTAACCAGAGAAAGTAGCTCGTCGGAATAGTTGCCATGAAAGTAATTGTAGAAGAGACAAATTAAAGCCACGTCACGTCTGTGGGATAGCGATTTTAGACTAGATGCCATATCAGGACTTGTCATCTTGCATATTCGTCTCTGGATTTTGTCGAGGACCTCGAGACGTACAGCAGACCATAAATGACAGCAATATTCAATACAACGACGGATGGTTGATTTATAAATTTGAAGGATGGACTCAGACGAGAAAAACTTTCTGGCACGACACAGAGAACCAACTTTCCTTGCAGTAGATGCAGCTAGTTGAAATACTTATTAAACAGTTATTTAATACCACTAAAAATACATATACAGTTAACACAAACACACACACATAAAGACAAAGACAAAATTAAACGCACAATACAGTTAACACAATCACATACACAGACGTACATACAAGAACACACAGACATACACGTGCGGGTGAGTGTGCGCGTACATGCTTTTTTATGCCTATGCGTACATGTGTGCACATACATAGTGTTATGGTCCGGTTCCTTGTACTACGGTGATAGTCCAAGGTAGAACCAATAAAGAAGAACTCGGACACGTATATGGAATAACACAGATATATTACAAACAGGAATATATACAGAGAAATAGAAAGTGTTAGTACGAACAATCAGGTTTAGTAGTAATTGTCTGAACGCGACTCTGTTTCGGACTGCCTCTGACTCGACTGACTGACTCGCTCGCTCTGACTGACTGACAGACTCCTGCCGGACTTCACCCCAGACTTCAGACTGAACTCAGACTTCAGACGGAATTCTCTGCTTCCGCTTGAGGCGCAGTATTTATTATGTGTGGAATAGTCCATTATGTTATTATGGGTAAGGTCCCATAACACAGGCACGCCTATAAACACACATGTGCGCAAACATGCATACACACACAAAAATACAAACATTTATGTATTGAATTAATATTTAATCTTACCTTTTAAAAGTTCAACGATAATTCTTGTGTCGCCACTTAATTTGAAGACAGTTCGATGTACGTAGGTCTTGACTTTCCGCGCGAATAATTATTTTTATTTCATGGGTGACAATCGCTGGATTTCACAATTAATTTCGATTATTCCCAAATTTATTTTCAAGTTATAAAAATTGTTATCGTACAAAAATATAAGGTAAAAATCGGCGAGAGAAAGAAAAAAAGAAAGATAGAGAACAAGAAACAGAGGAATCGACAGAAAATGGGTGGGGGTGAGGCGGTCTGGGAGATATTAGATGAAAGAACGCACATTGGTTCAAGCTCTCTTTTACCTTCGTATACACGCACCTTGCGTTTATTCTTGTCAAAATAATAGTTAATGACTCCAACGATCATCGACTCGGGCAACAAGGATGGAGACATTGCAGAACTTTGTTGCCAACGGATAAAAAGAACGGCTGAGATAGATAGATAGATAGATAGATAGATAGATAGATAGATAGATATGATCAGACTGAGATAAATATGATCAGACTGAGATAGATAGATATGAACAAATATGAATATGTATGTATGTATGTATAGATAGGTAGATAGAATAGATAGATATGAACAGACTAAGATAAATAGATATGAACAGAGATAGATATGAAAAGGCTGATAAATATGAACATAGATAGATAAATAGATAGCTAGGAACAGACTGAGATAGATAGATAGATAGATAGATAGATTGATAGATAGATAGATAGATAGATAGATATGATCAGACTGAGATAGATATGATCAGACTGAGATAGATAGATAGATATGAACAAATATGAATATGTATGTATGTATAGATAAGTAGATATGAACAGAGATAGATATGAAAAGGCTGATAAATATGAACATAGATAGATAAATAGATGGCTATGAAACAGACAGGATAGATAGATAGATAGATAGATAGATAGATAGATAGATAGATAGGAAAAAATTTAGAATGATAGGAAAAGATTGAAATACCCAGCTGGGAACAGACAGGGAGATAGATAGATAGATAGATAGATAGATAGATAGATAGATAAAAGAAGAAAAAAAGCGTGAGAGAGAAAGAGAGAGACAGACAGGAAGAGATAATGAGAGAGAGAGAGAGAGAGAGTTTAGGAAAAAAAGTCTGAAGCAGAGAAAGAAAAACGAACGAGGTCGACAGGGACTGAGTGAAAAGTCGGAGAATAGAAAGAGAGTCTTAGAAAAAGAGACTGAGCGACAAAGAGAAAAAGAGGGAGTAGAAGCAGAGAAAGAGCGGGACAAAGAGGAGGAGGAGGAGTAAACTTAGAAGGACAGCAAGAGAGAGAGAGAGCGAGAGAGAAAAAAAGAGAGTGAGTGGGAGAGAAAGAAATGATTTTTTGAAACGATAGTTTCATTCAGGTTTGCTGTAACCATCCCTGGTAAATGCTAATTCTCTCTAGGTAATCAAGAATTATTGACTGCAGACATCAGGGAGTGGTGTTGCCTGACAGTGTGATACCAAATCGAATCCCCCCTGCTAGTTTTGCTTCGTGTTATCAAAATTGAATGATATTTTTTTTACTATTATGATTTATATTTAGATCGACTTAATGCAATTATTGGTGATTTGTATCACATCTGATGTTGAGAAAATGTTTCAGCGCTAGAGTAAGTAGTTCGATGTCGCAAAGAAAGAAAGAAACGTTTAAAACGCAGAAAAGACTTAAGAAAATGATAAAGAGTCCAAGAAAATCAGAGAAATATGCGAAACGGCAACACAAGTTTTTCCGTTTGTGGCTGTCAACGCCGGGATACTTTCCAGGAAACATTTTTGCCTCACAAGATGCATTGTGAACACTTGACAACATGCAGAGATGACAACACTGATTGGAACAGCTCATGGGTGGAAGTATTATGCATCTAAATTGCAGATTTTAAACAGAGATACGATCATCATCACCCGGACGATACATTTAAGATTCAAACGGGAGATAGATAGATAGATAGATAGATAGATATGAATAGACTGAGATAGATAGATAGATAGATAGATAGATAGATAGATAGATAGATAGATAGATACGAACAAACATAGAAACATTCTGGATATATATAGATAGGAACATACTGAAGATGTAGATGAATGAACAGATAATATGAACAGACTGATAGATAGATAGATAGATAGATAGATAGATAGATATGATAGTCTGGGATAGATAGATAGTACGAACAGACTGTGATAGATAGATAGATAGATAGATAGATGGATATGAAAAGACTGAGATAGATAGATAGATAGATAGATAGATAGATAGATAGATGCGAACAATCTGGAATACATAAACATTCTGAAATAGAAAGAGATATATATAGATAGGAACATACTGAAGTATGTAGATAAATATACCGATAGATGCGAACAGACTGTGATAGATAGATAGATAGATAGATAGATAGATAGATAGATAGATAGATATGATACGGACAGTCTGGGATGGATAGATAGGTACGAACAGACTGTGATAGATAGATAGATAGATAGATAGATAGATAGATAGAACAAACTGAAATAGAAACATTCTGAAATAGAAAGTGATATGTATATCGATAGGAACATACTGCAGTATGTAGATATATAGATATATAGTTAAGTAGGTAGGTAAGTAGATAGATAGATTGATAGATACGAACAGACTAGGATAGATAGATAGGAGCATACTCAAGAAACTGAACTCTATAGATAGGCAGACAGATACGAACAGAATGAGATAGATACATAGATAGATAGATAGATAGGAGCACACTGAAATGTATAGCTAACAATCTGAAATAGATAGACAAATTATGATGCTACCTGTCACGTTGAACACAAGACAGAATAAGACAGTGAACCGTATATCGCGCTGACACAATCGAGATTAGTATACAGCATTCATTGTCCTAAACTTCCTTATAAGCAGGCATATCTTATAATTCAACCAATCCAAGAGAAAACAAACTCTCCTCACACGTAAGTCTCTCCAATCTTTCATACGAGACACTCTTTAATCTCTACATACACACCTTCATTCATATCTTTTATATTATTTGACTTTTATTTGCTCAGACAACATAATCCACTGTTCATTATATATATTTAATCTTTTGTATAATTTGTCTTACCTGTTGGCTGAAATCCACTGGTAACGATGGAATTAATTATTTCCCTGCAAGAAACATTTGGTATTCTTTGACGGTGAGTCAGCTAGGGTTATTGCCTGTGGAAATTTCGAACATCTTTCTTTGAAAACTTTTACAAGAAATTATAATTCTCAACTCCATCAATTGTAATTCCTCTTTCTAGTACTGATGTTTCCTTGCAAACCTTTTGTTTTTGGTAGTGTGGAATGCTAACATCTTTATTATATCATTATTTTCTTTTATAGTTATAGAGATATTCTAAGCTTAGCTTAGACGTTGTACATAGCCTAATCTATGGAGCACCCTGTGAGGTTCGAACTCACTTCTTCTATGTGTCGCATCTCTTCAGGACGTAATCGATCATGGCTATCAGTAATTTCCTTTCCGTAACTCTAATAAATTATAAATTGCGAGATAAGAGTTGATTTCATGTAAAAGTTTTCAAAGAAAGACTTTCGAAATTTCCACAGGCAATAACCCTAGCTGACTCACCGTCAAAGAATACCAAATGTTTCTTGCAGGGAAATTTTAGCCAACAGGTAAGACAAATTATACAAAAGATTAAATATATATAATGAACAGTGGGTTATGTTGTCTGAGCAGATAAAATTCAAATAATATAAAAGAGATGAATGAAGTTGGGCATGTAGAGATTAAAGAGTGTCTTGTATGAAAGATTGGAGAGACTTACGTGTGAGGAGAGTTTGTATTCTCTTGGATTGTTTGAATTATAAGATATGCCTGCCTATCTATCTATCTATCTATCTATCTATCTATCTATCTATCTATCTATCCCAGTCACTTCGTATCTATCTATCTATCTATCTATCTATCTATCTATCCCAGTCAGTTGGTATCTATCATTCCCAGCCTGTTCGTATCTATCTATCTATCTATCTATCTATCTATCTATCTATCTATCTATCTATCTATCTATCTATCTGTCCGTATCTATCTATCTATCTATCTATCTATCTATCTATCTATCTATCTATCTATCTATCTATCTATCTATCTGTTTCAGTCTCTTCTTTTTATATCTATCTATCTATCTATCTATCTATCTATCTATCTATCTATTTCAGTCTCTTCTTTTATCTAGTCTCTATCTTTATCTATCTATCTATCTATCTATCTCAGTATCTATCTATCTATCTATCTATCTATCTATCTATCTATCTATCTATCTATCAGTTCTATCTATCATTTATCAGCCTGTTTCAGTCTCTTCTTTCTATCTATCTATCTATCTATCTATCTATCTATCTATCTATCTATCTATCTGTTTCAGTCTCTTCTTTTATATCTATCTATCTATCTATCTATCTATCTATCTATCTATCTATCTGTTTCAGTCTCTTCTTTTATATCTATCTATCTATCTATCTATCTATCTATCTATCTATCTATCTATCTATCTATCTCAGTCAGTTGGTATCTATCATTCCCAGCCTGTTCGTATCTATCTATCTATCTATCTATCTATCTATCTATCTATCTATCTATCTATCTATCTATCTATCTGTTTCAGTCTCTTCTTTTCTATCTATCTATCTATCTATCTATCTATCTATCTATCTCAGTCATTTGGTATCTATCATTTCCACCTGTTCGTATGTATCTATCTATCTATCTATCTATCTATCTATCTATCTGTTTCTAGTCTCTTCTTTTATCTATCTATCTATCTATCTATCTATCTATCTATCTATCTAGTTCTATCTATCTCATCAGTTCTATCTATCATCTATTCTATCTGTTGTTCTTCTTTTATATCTATCTATCTATCTATCTATCTATCTATCTATCTATCTATCTATCTATCTCAGTCATTTCAATCATCTATCTATCTATCTATCTATCTATCTATCTATCTATCTATCCCAGTCAGTTTGTATCTATCATTCCCAGCCTGTTCGTATCTATCTATCTATCTATCTATCTATCTATCTATCTATCTATCTATCTATCTGTTTCAGTCTCTTCTTTTATGTCAGTCTGTCTATCTATCTATCTATCTATCTATCTATCTATCTATCTATCTATCTCGGTTTGTTCATATTTCTCTATCTATGCGAATATCTTTATGGCTTCTCCTATCTGGTTGCCGTCTTCATTTCGGAAGAACGATATCTGCTACTTGACATTAAACAGCTGACTTGATAAATTTAATGGACTTTTTCAGTTTTCAATAACAGAATCCTTTAGGTTACAGCAAGTACACACAGAAAAAAAATCATACGTTTTTAACATCCAGTATTTTTTTCCTTTCAAGATGTCAGGGTGTGACACGTAGTTGCTTTCATATGGAGTGCTCATTTGCGTACTGATAAGTCAAGGACAGAAACTGCTCTGTCTCTCCGACCACTGACATGGTACTGTTAGAATTCTCTGACCCCCAATTTAGAGGTACTGCCGTAAGGTTAGGATCACCGTGACCAGGCTTTCTACAATATAAATCTGTGAATTATTCAAAGAGAGAAACACAGCAGGAAAAAAGGGGGTAAATAAAGCAACAGATGCTACACTTCAATCCTGTTCTCTTATTCTGAAATGTTACGTGATATCTGTTATATCAACAGTGGCCAAACTTGCTTAATGTAAGAGGCATATACGATTCTGTTCTGATGTTCTTAAACATCTGAACAGAATCATATATAGTTCTTACATTAAGCAAGCCTCAAGTCATGAACAAAACTTACACATTTTTTGTTAAATACACATTAATATTAAACTTAATGTTTTAATCCAATGGGGTCTCAATTCATACGCAGTCAATAATTATAAAGCTTCAAATTATTCTTATTTACCTTTTATATTAATTGTGTCGAAAACATATCTCCACGAGCCGCATATTAAAGGTGAAAGTGCCGCATGTCTCTCGCGAGCCGCGGTTTGGCCACTCCTGGCTTATATGTCGTTAATGTCGGTCAATTTCCTCACAGATGAAGAAGAGACTTGAAGCAACAGAAACGTGGTTCTACAGAAGGGTGCTGGGGATACTATGGACCGGACGTATGAGCAACGACGAAGCTTTTGAGAAAATGGGAAACAAAGAAGGAATCTTTTACTTATCTCCAGGAAGAGATAATTGACAGGATTTTCTTTTTGCTTCCTTGTCTAAGACTATTTTTAGTTTTCCTTCTGGGTTTACCATCAAACCAATGCCATGTTTGAGTTTCACACGTCAATAATAAATTCTGATATGTCATCTAGTTGTCTTAGAATCCTTTCACTATATAAGCAGAATAAGTTAACAGGAGTAGATAGGTGCAAATATCGTGTGGTACACCTGTCGTGCGATTCACCTCCGGTCTTTGAACAGGCGTCCTATCCCTTGTTTCTCTGTTCTGGATTGGGTTCCTGGCTCCTTCTGGATTGTACTTCAACACTGTTCTCCTAACATCTCCACCTAAACTCTGAATTTTTTAATATTTATTTTTTTCTCCAAAATAGAAGTAAATAGGTTCGCCTATTGTTTTATTCAAATTCTTCCTCGGTGTTTTAAACAGGAGCAGAGGCCTAGCCTTTGTTTCCTGTTTACGGCTAGGTTTCCGGCTTCTTCTGGATTGTACTTCAACACTGTTCTCCTAACGTCTCCACCTAAACTCTGAATTTTTTTACTATTTTTTTTCTCTAAAATAGAAGTAGATAGGTTCACCTATCGTTCTGTTCAAATTCTTCCTCTGTGTTATAAACAGGCGCGGAGGCCTAGCCTTTGTTTCCTGTTTACGACTGGGTTTCCGGCTTCTTCTGGATTGTACTTCAACACTTCACCTATCGTTCTGTTCAAATTCTCCCTCGGTCTTTTAAACATAAGTTGTTTGTCCATTGATTCCTGTTTAGGATTGGGTTTCTGTTTCCTTCTAAAATCGTTTCCCTTCCAGTAGCGCCCCTTTCGTCTTAATGGCGTTATCGCCTTGCGTGAGGGGAATTTATTTAAAATAAATATCCATTGAGACATTTTTCTCATCTTTGAATATTCATGGACCACATAATTCCCTATCAACATCCAAGCTGTTTGTTTCCTTTAAATATTACGGATTACTTTCGTATCTTTCTCATCAGAGAAGGTGTTTTTTTTTTATATATACCAGAACAATGTTAAGAAAATTAATGACAGATTGAAAAAAAGAAGAAAAAAATGTGACGCCTTTACTCCTTTAGGACTTGTTCCATTAATGTGATATTTGCGTTCATGTAATTACATATACGCACAAAAGGGAGTGGACTCTGAAATTTTAAACTTTTAAATTAATTTTTTTAAAAGTAATTTTAGGGTATTGAATGCTCTGTACTATTTTTGGTCGTGTCAGTGCGACATACAGTTCGCTGTTTTATTCTGTCTTTTGTTCAGTATAACATGAATCGCTACTGTCAGATAGTTAAGCCAATTTCTTTGGTCTGTTCTTTTTGTTTATAATTTTATCACTTTTGATATTAAATATCCCCCATTCGTCTATATCTCTGAGATGAGGTATTATGATTACTTACATTATTGATATTATTCTGACTATCATACTTATCTTCATTTCTA